ATTCTGGGACACTGCAAACAGCCACAAAGCACCCAAAATACAATTGCATGACCACAGGATGTGTGTTGCAGCCATGGTAACTCTGAAAATAAATCCTAAATAGCTCTGGGGAGGTCCATTGTAACTTTGAACAGTTTTTAAGCAACCAGTTGTTAACTCGAGGGCTACTTGACTGAGCTGCCCATTGTATATCAAATTTTGGGCAATTCCCAAACAACAACTATTCTAATAAAGCTTTCTTGCCTGGATTCACACAAACATAAAGAGCCGTGATACTGGTTTACAACTAAAGCGGCTGGATCTCGCACTGCTATGCTAAATTTATCAATTTAAACCAATTTAGCCTTTTGTGCAAAATAATGGGTCTGCCTACCTGAAAAGGGTGGAAGAAGAAAAAAGCAGTGTCATTCCAGCATATCCTCTTGGGGGGGGGGGGGAAACCGGAAAGGAAAACAGAAATAAAAAGAACAGGGTTTCTCTGTTTGCTAATATATGGGATGCTATTGAATTAATCCATTTTCCAAAGTAGTGCAATTTCGGAGCCCAGAAGGCAGGGTGTCAAACTCAATTTCACTGGGGGCAGAATCAGGGCCGTGGTTGACCTCAGGGGGACCGGGCGCAGAGGTGGGTATTCTAGCAGGTTCTGACCAGTTCTGGAGAACCGGTAGCGGAAATTTTGAGAAGTTTGGAGAACCAGAAAATCCCACCACTGACTGGCCCCGCCCCCATCTAATCTCTGCCTCCTGAGTCCCAGCTGATTGGCTGGGTTGCCTTCTTTTGTTGTCACACACAGGAGAACGGAGCTGGAAAGCAGGTTAGTGGGGTGGGGAGGGAATGGAGATTTTGTAGTAACCTTCCCGCCATGCCCACCAAGCCACACCCACAGAACCAGTAGTAAAAAAGAAATTGAATCCCGCCATTGGCCGGGCGGGCATGGCCGACTGGGTGGCCAGTTTAACGCCACTCCCCAAACTGGTGGCATGTTTTCTCTTTGCATTGAGCAGATCGGGCCAAAGCCAGGATGGCTCGATCTTTCTTCTTTGCATTGGGTAGACCAGGATGGCCCTGTGGCTGGGCCAGATCCGACCACATCGCGGGGTGGATTTGACACCCCTGCCATAAGTGGCCAAAATGAGTGATGATGTTGTCGGAGAGATGGGAAAAGGAGCATTTCAAAAAGAAACCCACACTTACCTAAAGAACAATCATGTTTTATTGTTAATGGTTTTCAGTCATTTAAGTCAGGGGTCTTCAAACTTGACAGTTTGAGGGGCTGCCACAGAGAGGAGGGGGCCAAGCTATTTTCCAAAGCACCAGAACGCCAGACAAGGAATAATGGATGGAAACTGAAAAAAGAGAGATTCAACCTGGAAATAAGGAGAAATTTTCTGACAATGAGAGCAATCTGCCGATGAAACAGAAGTTGCCTTCGGAAGTTGTGGGAGCTTCACTGGAGGCTTTCAAGAAGAGACTGGACTGCCATTTGTCAGAAACGGGGTAGGGTTTGCTTGGGCAGGGGGGTTGGACTAGATGACCTACAAGGTCCCTTCCAACTCTGTTAAGTGAATCGTGATTGTAAAGCCAATCCGGCTTCCTCCATTGACTTTGCTTGTCAAAAGCCAGCCTGGGAAGATCAGAAATGGCTACCCCATGACCTCAAATGCTGCAACCGTCATAAATATGAGCCGGTTGTCAAGCACCTGAGCTTTAATCACGTGACCCTGGGCATGCCGCAGTGGTCGTAAGTGTGAAGACTGGAGATTAGCCGTTATTTTCAGGTCTGGCAGTTCGACTTACCACCATTTACTCAGTGACAATTCAAAGTGGCACTGAAAATAGTGACATGACCATTTTTTCACACTTATAATGGTTGCCGCGTCCCCGTGGCCATGTGATCAAAATCCGGATGCTTGGCCACTGTCCCCGGGTCATGTGATTCCCCTTTTGTGTGTCAATTCATCAAATATGATCTTTGATCTATGGTCTTTATAGGGTTGACAACAGAAAAGGAGTGGGGAGCAGTGAGGCAGCTTGCAAACCGAAAGTGCATTCCATAAATGTTTTCAAAGATAGTAACTAGGGGACCGTTGTTTCTGCCATGCAAAATTCTAACTGGAGAACATGATTGATGACTCTTGGCTAGGGATGTGTCCCATTGGAGAATATAAATTACGATACACCCAGGGGGAGGGGGGAAATAGGGTCAAGGGTGACAATGAGTGATGTGTCTCAGAGTCGGCTAAACCCAGGCAGTGCCGGACATGTTAACTCCCAATAAATCCTTTTGAAGTTCTGGCTCAAGACTCACGATTTAAATGCAGGTAGCTGCTGGAGTCCTGACATTGCAGTGTTCTGACCAACAAGGTCGATGGGGAAGCCAGATTCACTTAACGACCGTGTTGCTAACTTAACAACTCCAGTGATTCACTTAACAACTGGAGCAAGACAAGTCATCAAACACGGCAAAACTCACAATTGCCTCCCTTCTCAACAGACATTCCGGAATCAACTGTGGTCGTCAGTTTGAGGACTACTTATCCCGTTGTAATTTCGAACGATCACGAAACGAATGGTGGTAAGCCAAGGACTAATGCCATGATCTGACATGCACCCCTATTCAAATCATAAGTCTCTAGCCACATTTCTCAGAGTAAAAAAGATTGATTTATTAGGAGTTGACATGTCGTCGTTTCCCGGCTGCAGCCAACTCATTCATTTCACCCTTGACCTTGGTCTTCCCCCCAGGCCCTGGATGTATATTCTCCAATGGGACACATCCATAGCCAAGAGTTATCAATCATGCTCTCCAGTAATAATCTTGCCCACCAGAAGCTTCGGTTGTCAAAGCGATTAACTGAAGCCTTTAAGGCAGTGGTGGCTAACCTTTTTGGGCTCCTGTGCCAAAAATTGTGTGCGCGCTTGCACACTCCCGCTTGTGTGCCAGCACCCAGAAGGCAAAGCGCGCCCCTCCCAATGTCCTCTATGTATGCGCACAATCCCCCCCACACACATCCACACACCCCCATCGCCCTTACCTGCACTGCGCCTCACAGCTGATTTTCGGCCAGTTTGGGGCCTTTTTCGGCCTCCCAAAGGCTTGAGGAAGGCTTCTGCAGGCTTCTACAAGCTTTGCAGGCCGAAATCTAGCCCCGTTTCATCACTTCCTGTTTTTCCGGAAAAAAAAAACAGAAGTGACGAAACAGGGCTAGATTTCGGCCTACAAAGCTTGTAAAAGCCTGCTAAAAGCCTTCCTAACGCCTCTGGGAGGGCGAAAAAGGCCTCAAACTGGCCGAAAATCAGCTGTGAGGCACACACATGCACTGTGAGGAAAGTTTGCCTGCAGCTCGCATGCCGGCACAAATGGCTATATGCCACCTGTGACACGTGTGCCATAGATTTGCCATCACGGCTTTAAGGAATGGCTGCTTTCCCCCACTCCCTTTCTGCTGACAACTAAAAAAACCAAAGAAGTATTTTTTGACAACTATCTGGAATTAGAGTACAATTCATCCTCCAATTCTTTGGGCCAAAAATCATAGGAAGCTCTCTCATCATCCTCAATCAACCAGTGGAACAGCTTGGCCTTCGGAAGTTGTGGGAGCTTCATCACTGGAAGCTTTGAAGAAGAGATTGGATGGCCGTTTGTCAGAAATGGTGTAGTAGGGTCTCCTGCTTGGGTGGGGTGGACTAGATGACCTACAAGGTCCCTTCCAACTCTGTAACCTCATTTTTTTTTTTCAGATGGGAAAACATGATTTAAATAACAGCATCAATGTCAGAAACAGCTCTTTAATGAGTTTTACTTAGTTAATTGTTTTTAAAAAAATCTTAATTATAAAAGGGGAAAAAAAGTAAGTGACAACCTAGAAAATACCATGCAAAGCATAATACACTAAGGGAATATCTTTTTCTCAAAGTATTCAGAAAGAAAACTACAGAAGATGGCTGAGGAACCACCGTGCGAGCAGAACTAAAATCACAAATACTTTGTTTTAAACCATTATGTTTTAAATGCCTTCTTTTGGCCTTCCTAATAACTTAATTAAGTACTTCTACAGGGGGGAAAAAAATCACATTATGTGGATAAAGTAGAAGCCAGGTACTATCATTCCTATATACTGTTGATGTACAGAGCAAATCTCTTAAGATTTATCACACAAAGGCTCTTAGAGCCGTATTTCTCGACCTTGGCAATTTTAAGTTGAGTGGACTTCAATCCCCAGAATTCCCCTTGTTGTCTGGGGAATTCTGGGAATTGAAGTCCACACAAATTTAAAGCTATCAAGGTTGAAAAAATACTACTCTAGGGAGATCCAAGCGAGAAAATGTAAAGTTTCCTGCTCGGTCTTCAAGAGGGATTATCAACCAGATTTACAGATCCTGGACAGGTTACCTGGTATCCCACATGAGCCCCTAGCTAGCCAATGTAGACAAGTAAAGGAATCTTTAGTCCAATGTTTTAAGAGCTATATTCCCCCCTTCCTTTTAAAGAAAAATCTGAAATCTGTTCAAGGTCTCCTTGATAGAGAGGAAACCTAACAAGGGTCAGCCAGCAGAAGGGATCCCTATGCAAGGACATAAGCGCCTTAGACAAAAATGTATTCCCTTCCCTGAAAATATCGTACAAAAATAAACATCATCACATTCATAATTCCGTATCAAAGGAGCAAAATATTCCTGATGTAAACATTAGATTGTTTTCCCAAGCAACTGGAGGGGCAAGTGTGCATGTTTTGTTTTTTTAAAAAAACATAGTCCATAAAATAAAATTGTAGAGCAGGGATCTCCAAACTTGGCAACTTCAAGACTTGTGGATTTCAACTCCCAGAATTCTCCAGCCGGGCTCGAGGACTACTATTCCCAAAATTCAACTTGTGGACTTCCAACACCCAGAATTCAAGTTGTGGACTTCAACGCCCACAGCTGGCTGAGGAATTATGGGAGCTGAAGTCCACAAGTTGTCGACTTTGGAGACTGCCCCCTGCTGTAGAGGAAGAAAAATAAGGAAGAAAACCAGCCGTTGGGACGATCAACCGTTTTACCAAGGGCTGCATGGCCACCACCAAATGCTTTCTGGCCAAAACTGGATGATTTCCTAGAATTATTGAAAATCTCATGTTTGTTCTGGACGGTCTACTTGTCCTTCGCCACATGCCCCTGCCTTGCCACCTCTATTCATTCCTAATTCCCAGCTCACTGGCTGTTTTCTCGCGAGCAGGATCCTCCAGAGTGTCTCCCGCCAAAAACTTTACATTTTTCTCTCCTGCGTGAACCGTGTAATGCCGGTGAAGTTCCGATTTTGACCGGAAGTTCTTCCCGCAATGGGTACACAGGAACGGCTTGGCCCCCGTGTGAGTCCTCTGGTGAGAAATGAGGTTCGAGTTACGGTTGAAGCTTTTCCCGCACTCCAGGCAGACGTATGGTTTCTCCCCCGTGTGGATCTTCTGATGCCGGGTGAGGCTGGTGCTGTCACAGAAACTTTTCCCGCAGTCTGAACAGATGTACGGGGTGCCTCCAGTATGGACCCGCTGATGTCGGACGAGGCTCATGTTGGAGTAGTAACTCTTCCCGCACTCGGCGCATTTGAACGGCTTCACGCCGGTGTGAGTTTTCTGGTGCGTGATGAGATTGGAGCTCCAGCGAAACCCTTTCCCGCATTCCAAGCACGTGTAAGGCATCTCCCCGGTGTGGATTCTCTGGTGGAGCGTCAGATCCGCCTTCCGGCAAAAGTTCTTCCCGCAGTCGGCGCAGTGGTAAGGTTTTTCTCCCGTGTGGATCCTCTGGTGGATGCGAAGCTCCGATCGTTCGCAGAAGCTGACGCCGCACTCCGGACACTTGTACGGCTTCTCCCCTTTGTGGATGATGGTATGCCTGATCAGGTGAGACTTCACGCGGAAACTCTTCCCGCAATCCAAGCACTGGTAGGCCTTCTCCCCCGCGTGGATCCTCTGGTGAATTGTGAGGCCTGAGCTCTGGCAGAAACATTTGCCGCAATCCAAACATTTGTAGGGTTTTTCCCCGGTGTGGATTCTCTGGTGTCTAACCAGGCTGGTGCTGTAATTAAAACTCTTCCCGCAATCCGGACATTTGTAAGGCATGTTCCCCGTGTGGGTCACCTGAAATTCGATGATATCCGAGGGATCATCTGCTCCTCCGGCAGCCTCACTGCTCCCCTGATGGGCGCTCTTCGGTTCTGTGCTTCCTCCGATGAGCTCAATGGCTTCACAAGGAAGGGCCTTCCCGATGTTCTTCTCTGGAGAACGCTCCCCTTCAATTCCATGCCAAATTCTGGGAATGGCTTGCAGGTCACCGTTCAGGGAATCCTTCAGCTCCGAGTTCCCCTTCGCTACCCCGCTGGTGCTTTCTCCTGAAGCTTCTGGAAGATCGGCGGCTTTATCAGCGCTGCTCAAAGATTCACCTGCAGAAGGAATAAGAAATGAAAGGAGCGGAAAACCAATGGCTTCACACTGCCAAACTATTCACTAGAACTTTAAATTCACTTTCAATTCATATTTCAATGTGGGAGAACTCTAGGCTTGTTCACCAGTATCAGGGGTGTCAAATGCGATTTCATCAGGAGTGGGTGTGGCCAGCTTTACATCACTCGTTGAGGCTCCATTTTGGGCCACGACAGCCTCCTGTAGGCCTCTGCTAGTGAAAAGGAAGCTCGGTGAGGCTCTGCTTGGTCCTATCGGGCTCCGTTTTCAGCTGTGATGGCTCCTGTAGCCATCTTCCAGCAAAAACGGAGCTCCAGGAGATCCGCCCAGGCTCCATTTTGGGCCGTGACGGCCTCCTGCAGCCCTTTGCCAGTGAAAACGGAACCTCGATGAGTGATGTTGAGCTGGAAGAGGGCTGCAGGAGGCCATCGCAGCCAAAAATGGAGCCCCTGAGCTCCATTTTCGCTGGCAGAGGCACCACGGGCCGGTCCTTTGCTGTTTCCAGGATGGCCCCTTGGGTAGATCTAAGTACCCTGTGGGCCAGATATGGACCACAGGCGTCGAGTTTGACACCCTTGGCCTATATCAAGACTTTCCAAACTTGGCAACTCTAAGACTTGTGGACTTCAACTCCCAGAATTCTCCAGCCAGCTGTGGGAATCGAAGGCCACCAGTTGAATTCTGGGTGTTGAAGTCCACCAGTTGAATTCTGGGCGTTGAAGTCCACAAGTAATTAAAGTTGCCAAGTTTGGAGAGCCCTGGCCTATGCGATATGCTTTCTTGGGGCCCAAGATGATGGCTTTTTCATCTGGGGAATGCTTTAGTCAATTTTATGATGAAGCTTGGCAAAGACCAAAAAGGAGAGGCTTTTTTCCAAAAAATAAGATGGTAAGATAATGAGCTTTAGGCCTATATAGGGGTTTGAACCCAGTGTCATGCCCCTGTCGGAATCTGATTCCGAGGGGGAGGTCGAACAGCTGACAGGGAGTGGGAGTGTGGCTCCAATGGCTGTGAAGGAAACTGGGGACGGGAACACTCCAGCTGGGCATTCAGAGGAAGACCAAGGCCCACCCCCTCTTCATCCTAGGGCACGCAGGAAGAAACGGAGAAGGGAGCAACATGCGTTACGGGGGAGTAAAAGGCCCTGATTCCCTTGATTAGCTGCAGCTGGGAAAATGGGATAAAAAGGGTGTTTGCACACAGAACCTTGCTGGAAGCAAAGCATGAATTATCTTTGTTTGTTAAGTTTTATCAGGGTTCTGGCATCCTCCCCACCCCACTAAGCTGTTTTCCAGCTCTGTTCTCCTGTGCAGGGCAACCCGAAGAAGACCTAGGCGATCAGCTGGGCCTCGGGAGGCAGAGAATGGTTGGTGGCGGGGCCAGTCAGAGGTGGTATTTGCCGGTTCACCAAACCACCCAAAATTTCCGCTCCAGGTTCTCCAGAACTGGTCAGAACCGGCTGAATACCATCTCTGGTCTTTTGGATTTCCTGGTGGTCTCCCCTCCCCATAGGAAACCAGGTTTGACTTGCTTAGCTTTCTTTGAGATAACTCAGGGTTGGCTAAACCCCAATATTTATTTAAAAGAGTAATAAATTCCATCCGCACTTTTCTGCAACCGACAATCTGTTTCTATCTGTACGATTATTTCCAAATCCATTTGGAACCCAAAAGTGCTTCCCAAGCCAACGTACAAAGTGAAAATGTGAAGGCA